TTAAGGTGAGAAAGGTGTGTGAGAGACGCTTCTGAGTTTGTTAGATTAGAATTTGCCATACAAAATCGAAAATCTTAAAATTATTGTGGTTCCTAGAGTCTCCAAAAGTAGACTAGGAGCCAGAGCATTCAGCTATCAAGCACCTCTCCTGTGGAACCAGGTTCCAGTTTGGGTTCAGGAGGCAGACATTTCTCCACATTTAAGAGTAGGCTTAAGACTTTCCTCTTTGATAAAGCTTATAGTTAGGGCTGGCTCAGGTGAGTCCTGAACCATCCCTTAGTTATGCTGCTATAGGCCTAGACTGCCGGGGGACTTCCCATGATGCACTGAGCTCCTCTCTCCTCTACTTTCTCTCCCTCTTTATGCAACCTCATCCCATTAAAGCATGTTACTAACTCGACTTCTTCCCTTTCCTGTAGTCTTGTGCTTTCTCGTCCCTCTCCTCTCTCCTCCTATCATGCAGGTGTTTCTGGCTCTGGAGCTGTGGAGTCTGGATCTGTGGTTGCGAGTCACCTGCTGCCCCCGTGTTCCTGCTCGACACCCTCTGCTACAACTATTGTTACTAGTCCTATTGTTATTATTGTTATTATAATCATTGATATTACGATTGTTATCATTAACACTACTATAAATATCTTTACCATTATTCATTCAGTCTATAGCAACATCACCTTTACTGTCTGTACCTCTGTGTGTATATTGTGTAGGCTGCCTCCCTCCCCTCTCTCACTCCTTCCATCCCTTTCTCTTTTTCTCTCTGTTCCTCTCTCTCTCTCTCTCTCCTTCACCCCCAACCGGTTGAGGCAGATGGCCGCCCACCCTGAGCCATGGTTCTGCTTGAGGTTTCTGCCTCTTAAAGGAAGTTTTTCCTTGCCTCTGTCGCCTAGTGCTTGCTCTTGGTGGGAACTGTTGGGTTTCTGTAAATATCACAGAGTACGGTCTAGACCATACTAAAATAAACATGATTAAATACCAGAGAGGTTATCATGCTGAGGTGATCTCAGAGTTCAGTAGCTTAATGGCTCTTTGGAAGAAGCTGCTTAACTGTCTACCCATTGTTGCCAGAGGAGCTGATTGCAGAACCCTCCAGATGTGATTTGCTGTTTTCAGCTCCACAGGAGAGAACCGCTCCAGCTTCCAGTGAGGCTCTTCAGCCTTTTCTTTTTACGCCACAACACCTGAACACTACTGATGTGAAATTATGACACTGGGTTCCTATCAATAGATTTTATCATTATAATAATAACTCTTACACACATTATTTCAAGTGATACAAACTATTGCTTGTGTATTTGGAATAATTTGTTTTAAAATGTACTACTACTAATACTAATTATTTTAAAAATAAAATCAAATTCTTCATTCATCATCAGTATCCTATGTTAATTGTAATTAGTTGATCTAAACTTAATATATTATAGTTAACAGCTGTAAATGAAACTAATAAGATGGTATTTATAGGTTAACATTTTGCATATATGTAAGAGGAAAGTTTGATGTTATATAATGTTTTATTTTGACATTTCTTTAAGAGACAAATTTTGACATTGAGAAATTACTCTATTTTGAAAATCAAAGAATCATCTGCACACTGAATAGTTTTGATGCCTCGTAGGAGGTGTAATTTATACCTCTTAGAAGGTCTTGTGTGGTTTACATTGTAGATGCACCTATTTACTACAAGTGCATTTGATCAGCTCTGAGACCTTAGAGTTTGCAACGTCACAATGAATACCACCTATTTGGATTCATAATTACTCAGTGTGCAGGTCATTCTTTGTTTCAGCACTTACCCACAGGATGGTTTGGATGTGGACACATTCTTCTGTATTTAAACTAGACTTAAATCAGAGCACCAAACAAGGCACTCTTCAGAAACTTCAGGCTCTGTTACTGGGTGTATGGTTCCTTATTTATCTTAGAGTATAAGGTAGAAAGTAAAAATACTCCTGCACAGAAATACAATGCATAATTACTTTTCAATATTTTATGTGAAACACATGTAGGAGTATTTTCACTTTTCAACTTAGACTGATGTTCTTAAGCAAGAGCTTTAATGTTTGGTGTTTTCTCTGTGTTATACGATTAGGTTGTCCTTTGTATTGACAGAATATGAAATCTAACATTTTCAGTAAGTACTAAAGACAAGGAGTGCTAATGTATATAAAATTTATTACATGTGAACCATAAAGCATATATTTTTTTAAATGGACCTATAACACAAATATGGACAATATTTAAAACTAAAAGTAAACAGAAGGAGAGAATGCCTTTCCACATCAGTCCATATTAACAGATACAGACTTCCAGCACACTAAGGAGGCTTCCCAGGTCTCTCCAGTGTGACTACAGGAGGAAAATGTGTAAGAAATGCTTCAGGCAATGAAAAATATAAAGTAAACAATACAGATGAGTCTTTAACAAAATAGCATATCATGGAAAAGCTAATTGTCTAACGTAATTTATTTCAAAAAGTGAATCTTTGATATATTCTAGATTCATTACACAAAGTGAAGCATTTCAAGACTTTTTTTTGTTTTCATCTTGATGATTACGGTTTACAGCTCATGGAAATAAAAACTGTTAACTGGAGAGGAGCTCTCTAATCAGCTTAGTAACTCAAAAACACCTGCAAAGGTGTCTGAAGCCTTTAATCTCTCAGTCTTGTTCTCTTGTTCAACTTTTCCACGGTATTCTAATTTTTTGAGATTTTCATCTAAAAGGTGGCTCAGTGTTTTAATGTTGACAGTGCTATTATGTCATATAAAATGTAACAAGGGAGACAGTCTTTAAATGTTTTTGTGTTGTCTTTTTAAGACAGACAATTTAATAACAGCTATCAAATGCCCAGTAGTAAAGACTAGTAACATTACTTACAGTTTAAGCTGTGTAGCGGACATGGAGGCATCAGAACCTCAACAAGAACTGATCACTGAAAGAAATAAACATCTTATAAAAAGTACCTTTCTCTCTCAAGTGTCCTTGACAATAATCTCGCATAGCCCTGGCGACAGCAGCAATGTTATTCAAAATAGCGATGTGGGGAATTACCTAACGTGATCTGTTAATACTGTTAAGAGTCATGGCTGTTAGGAATATGGTTTCTGTGTTCATGTCTTTCCTGTTTAAGTCTGCTTTTGGTTCCATGTCTTTGTTCCCAGTCCTGTGCCTTAGTTATGTTTTAGTATTTACTTCTTGTTCCTCATCTACATTATGTTAGTTTAGTCTGCTCTGTAGTCTGTGTCCTCGTTTAGTTTTTGTCTGCTATGATCCCTGTGTTAGAGTTAGCCTGTGTCTTAGCTCCTCGTTCTGTGTCTCGGTTCGTGTTTTGGGTTTCACTCATGTCCGTCTCTGTCGGTCACCCATGTCTGTCTTCTTGGCGTATTAGTTCCCAGTTCAGTGTTTTACTTAGCTTCAGTCTGTGTTAGTTTAGTGGGGATATGTCTGCTTGTGTCTTTATTAGTTTATACTTATTCATCTGATCTGTTATGTGTTCAGTAACCTGTCATGTCTGTTCCCTTCCAGTATGCCTGGCTGTCTCCCTCTTCTCCCCTCTGCTCTCTCTCTGCCTGCCTCGTTAGCCTCATGTTTGTCACCTGTGTTGCTCCCGCCCTGCACGTTAGTCCCTGTGTATATATACCTGGTGTTTCCGTCTAGTCTTTGTATGGTCATTGTAGCATGTTGACGCTCTGTCTGTCTGTGGTTGTAGTTCGCGCTGTCTCGTCTTGCCTGTTCCCTGTGAGTTCTTTGAATTTTGGTTTTCACCTGTTTTTTGATTTCTCTGTCGGATCACCTGCTTAGTTGTACCTCTATGATTTTGGATTACCTGGACTCAGCCACTCATTGTAAGTGTGCTCGCTTTTTGTTTGTTGGAATAAATCTCCTTTGAACTGTACCACCTCTGCTTTGCATCCTGTGTTTGGGTCCTCCAACCTGCTCAACCCACACCTACCCTGACACATGGCTAACTTTTTACAAACTATTCAGCTTCCATCATGTAACTAAGTAATCTACCGCTAGCTTATAAAGTTTATTACAACAAAATCAAATGACATCCAAACGACTCGCAACTAACATTCTCATTACGCAAAAGGGTTCATTGATTTGCTTTATATTGTTCGTTTTATTAATGTTTTATTAGTAACTGTTAACATTAGTCTCAACAAAATCTAGTTTTGCAAATAAACGTTACCACTGTTATATATTAAAAATCGTTTAAGCATTTTAAACCTTGTGTAGTATATTATCAATAATAGAGAAATAGTTATTTTAAGTGTTCTATAGTTTCAGGTAACTTACCTTTCCTCGATTGTAAATAACGACCATAGACTGGTAAAAACACGGTCACAGGTTCCAACCTCCACCATAAATCTCCAGGGATCTAGAAGCTATCTTTGCTAATGCAGAGTAGCATATAGCATTAGCTCCTTAGCCTGCGCTAACTTGGTCACGTCGAGCTAGGCAGGCATGCTTTCAGCAACACGTCACCTCAGCTCCACCTACCTCTTTGCCCATTTTTGGTTATCCGGGATTGATGCACGGTGACGTGCCGCCAAGATGGCTACAACCGGCTCGCCCAATTTGGGCTTTAAAATTGCTCTTCAGAAACCAACAGTGCCGTCACAGACACTGCGTCCATTTTTATAAACAGTCTATGGCGTAGCTGTGCGGCGCAAATGACCATATATGGAATACCGGCTCCATGTAGCTCCGTGTGTCGTCAAACGGAGCAGTCAGTAGAAAAAGCTGATAAACAGGGTGTTCAGAACAGGAGGAAATCTGCAGTTTTGGCTCACGAGGATTTCTTTAAAATACTTTTACCTCCTTATTTGAAGCTTTGGCCATGTTTAACATGAACATCCAACATTATAACATTGTAAGACAGAAAATATGGAAAAGCATAATTTGTCTCCTTTAAGTAGTGATGCTATGTAAAGCCTCTCTATAGTTATTTCTAGACTAAAACTGTAGAGGTGTGTGTGTGTGGGAGGTGTCCTCACAGTCTCACGGTCCAGTTGCTTGTTGACCTTGATGACCCCACAGAGTGGATCAATAAAGAAATGGTTGTCTCGATCTCCACTGATGATGGAGTAGAGAATGTCTCCATTCAGCTGACTGTCAACGTCCTCTGCTACCATCTGAAAACACACGTACACACACGCAGGGTGAGTGAATGTTTCAATTTGCCCTGTCCTATATTTTACAAAAGACTTTCTTTATAATTGTTTGTGTTCCAAATGTCTTCTTCCAAACTGTCAATACACACAGGTTGCTATGGTATGGCGACTTTGATATTCACTGCACTACTTTGGAATCCATTATGAAGCCCAGGTCATTTTGGCTCTACTTTGCCCAAACTTTACCAACCCAAACACACAGTTTTGAGGAAATCCTAATAATCTGTGTGCTCAGGTCAAAATATACTTATTTATATACTATAAAACAGACTAAATACTCTAAATATATCTATAATATGTTATTCTTTAATAAGACTGAATAGATAACAGCAGCACAAGCACAAGAAATTTAACAATCCAAGGAAAAATGTGAACATTAATTCTTTGCTTCGCTATGTAAGTAGTGAATTTTCTCACGACACTCACGCAACTGACACTTTTCACACGCAGCAAGCAACTGTTATGCCACACATCATTTTTCTCATGCAGTGAAAAACAAAAGTATAACTGATAATTATCATTGAAAAGGTGCCACAAACACATTTAGAGGTTACTTTATGACATAGACACAGAGGAGGGAAGATTAAATTATGCCTGCATGTGTACTGACTCAGCAGGTATGATATCACATGAGAAAAGTTGATCTACAGGAGAAACATATCTGAACACAACACAGAATGCCTTAGAGCTCCACTGCATTATATTATGTTGGACCTAGTTCTACTTCGTATAGGCATCGCCCTCTAAGGCTATCGCTATTGGGGTTTACCCCTATGCACAGCACTGAGAAAATCCCACCAGTGAGATCTAGCCTCCCATTTTCATTCAGCACTGAGTTTAAAGAGCAGAAGATCACCAGCTAGCGTTGTCTTCCAGCAAGTCAGCCAGAGCGGGGCGGGATGCCACTATATCCGTACGGGTGTGCAGTGTCTGACACGGGCTTCATCCTGCCAGGGTACCTCCATCCCCCTCAGGCAAACGTTGAGCTAACAAGGAAGCTAACATGCGGTTTGCCCGTGGATCAGCCAAACAGGGAAACTCCATGTGTCCACATTGCTCCACATTAGCTGTGGCTAACGACATCTAGCAACAAGACTGCTTGCTGTTGGTCTGACCCTTGACGCTCAGAAGAAACGACTGGTATGCTATGGGTCGAGAACGTGTGTGATAATGTTGTTGCTCTTTGTGTGCAAGGTGTTTTTGGAATAAATGCTCTGTGCCTGTCTCAGTCAACTCAGCCATACCAAGCACGTCGTTAGCTACACTGTGTGCCACTACTGTTAGCCTGTCACCTAACCGGCAGCTCAACTCTGCTCTGTGCACAGCTGGAACGGTTGCAGTGTGTAACCTTCATCTGTGCCTACACAGCTGCGGTGCCCCCCATCCCGTTCCCGGCCTCTCACGCTTGGGTTGGTTTGCCTCTCCCATGTCGCGGCATTTGTCGTGCGTACGCCACCTGTGAGCTGTGAGGGACTGGGTGGCTTATTATGTTGGCTCGTGGCAGGTAGGTCTGTGCTTGATGGTACCTTATGGGCCCAGTGAGGCGTTGACTCATCCTGCTTTTATTCATCACTGAGAACCAAGGTCCAGGGAGGCTGCGCCTATACTCATAAAATCTGGAGTTACAGTACGTAACTACCGTTCTATTTTGTATAGGCTTCGCCCTCTAAGGCTATTGCTATTGGGTTAGAGGCGAAGCAGGATGAGTCAACACCTCACTGGCCCATACGGTACCACCAAGCACAAAACCCACCTGCCCAGAGCCATATATGAGCCACCCAGTCATCCGCTGTCCGCGGCATTGGTGTCAGTTTGTACACAAGCACCGATGGCGTGACATGGGAGGGAGGGGACTGACGCATGTGTAACAGTCGGGCAACTGGATGGGTGGCCCAGCAGCTGTACAGAAGCAGGCGGGGTCACGACAGCAACCGCATCAGCTGCGCACAGAGCAGGGCCAGCGCGAGCACCAAAGGCAAAGTCTTATCCATTGCACCTCCCTCTCGCTGCGGATGGTTGGTGAACGTTCCCTCTAGCTGGATGAATCCTGATGCTCCTGTTTTACGCATGATTCATGTGCTACTTGGGGATGGCCATGACAGTGTTGGAGACCTAGATTTGAAATTTTGAGCACTGCACCAATTTATGGTTCATCTACATCTATATAAAGCAAGGGAAATAACCTCTTTTAATGAGGTGAAAAGGTCCCACGTAGGCCACATGAGACCTTTTCACCTCAATGATAAATTATTTTTAATTCAGTTATAAACTCCTAGACTTTAATAGCTCTTGTGTTTCAGCAGGTTTTCTGCTCATGTTCAAAACTTTCTGCGCATTCAGAATATCTCCCATAGTGTTCTCTGACATATTACAAGACTAACGTCATATTTTGATGAGAGTTCATAATATTTTTATTCTAGCTGGCCTCTACTCTGCTGTGCATTACGTTATTGATCCGTTGGTATATAGCCCATCCCCTTTAGACCATTAGACCAACACAGTTTGGGACAGCATGCTGCATGTGAAACCAAAACCAATGAAAAACACTACTGATCAGGCAGATAGGCCTATTTCACCACAAATAACTTCAGCAGCTCAATTACAGTAACGCGAGTAAATGTAATTTGTTGCTTTCCACCTCTTTATACCACCATACTAAAAAAGGCACTATTATAAAGACTCAGAAACAAACACATTATCTTTCAGTATGGCCTTCCGCAGCTTCTGCTGTAAAATTGTCTGTCTCTATGCAGTTTTGAGGCAGTAGGTCTGGGTGATGCTACAGTGTTTGAGGGGCATGCTCAGTGTTTTTTCTGCTTTGGAAGCAAAGAGAGTTTCCCAAGCCACCTGTGTCATCTTCCTTAACTGAAAGCTCCTTAAGCAACAAATAACCATGAAATCAATAGAGGTTTTTTAAGGATACCTTGTGTGTGAAGGTGTAATGAGAAAAGCTGATAGTGTGTACAAAATGGAAATGTTCTTTCTGTAGGTATCATGATTATTCAGAGCAAATTTAACAGAAATCCAGCCAAAACCAACAAAAGTGTTAGTCAAGGGAATTTGTGCATAATAGTGGCGCTACGAAACAATGAGTTTCTCACTGAAAACGTTAATAAACTCTTCTTTTGACCACGAACATCCCTATCAAATTTCATGCAGATATGGTCAGTACCTGTAAAGATACTTGTTCTGGATGAAAAGTGTTATCCAGTACTTCTGGACCACTTCCACCCTGCAGCCACATGCATGCAGGGAAAACACTGACCGAAACCTACCTGGACTACAGACTCTCCAATGGTGGCATCCTCTGACACCACTGCAGTGTAGAGGTCACGGCTAAACATGGGTGCATTGTCATTGACATCTGTCAGGTTGATGTTCACTGTAGTAATGGCACTCAGTGGTGGTGCCCCGCCATCACGAGCCTCCACTGTCAGGTAGTAGTCTCTACAGGTCTCATAGTCCAAAGGCTGGGCAACTAAAATGGCTCCTGAGAAGAGAAAAGGAACAGAAATATGCAATTGGATGAATGTATGAATTAAAATATCATAGGGAAAAGATGTTCTGAAGGTCTACTGTCAAATGAAAAATGGATCCATTGTGGTGGCTAGTTGAAGGAGTCATCATCTATGTATGTAATAGTGTCAACAAACACCATGAGTCAAACCAACAAAGAACTGATGTATTAATAAGTATTGTGTGTATCAAAAGCACTATATTGCCAAATGTTTTAGGACACCACTCCAAATCATTAAATTCATGTTCCAATCACTTGTCCACAGGTGTATAAAATTAAGCACCTAGTCATGCAGACTGCTTGATAGTTCGTGATAGTTTGCCACCTGTGAACTAAGTCCATTTGTGAAATTTCCTCACTACTAAATATTCCACGGTCAACTGTTAGTGGTAAACAGACTCGGTGATTCGGATCAACAGGAACACGAAATCACAGAGCGGGGTCAGCACATGCTGAGGCACACAGTGCGCAGAAATCACTAACTTTCTGCAGAGTCAACAGCTACAGACCTCCAAACATCGTGTGGCCTTTGAATTTTTATTAATTTTACCTGATGCTTTTATCCAAAGCGACATTTAAAATTGCTATATGTCAGAGGTCCCAGAGGTCCCACGCCTCTGGAGCAACAAAGTGTCTTGTTCACACCAAATGTCTGTGTCTTATCCACTGCTCCATCACCACACTATAGCTCAAAAACAGTGCGTAGAGAGCTGCATGGAATGTGTAGTAAAGATCCTCAATTTGTCTTTATTCTTATTCACTTCCTTTAGTTCCTGTTCTTATCACTGACTGGCTCCCACTTCCACCTTTCAATCTTACTAATTGACTTGATTGAGTTCACCTGTTCACACTATATCCCTTTCACTTCCATGTGGGGCGGCAGTTCTGGTAAGACAAGTTTAATTTTTTCTCTTTAGTTTTATCCTATGTTTATGTAAATACTCCGTACTTGTATAGCGCCTTTCTAGTCTTTTCGACCACTCAAAGTGCTTTTACACTACATCCACACACTGAGCCTAAGTGCTCAAACGGAAACTAACATTCACACACATTCATACGGAATCGGGGTTCAGTATCTTGCCCAAGGACACTTCGACACGCAACCAGGGGGAGCCAGGGATCGAACCGCCGACCTTCCGAGCCGCCATAGGTTTATGAAAACTTAGTTTAGATGTCTGTCTTTCTTATTTCCTTGAAAGTGAGTTTAGTGTCTAATCTTATGTTTGCTTTCTTTCAGATTGAACAACTCATGTGTCTTTTCTTTCCTGATTATGTTGACAAATGCATCACCTAAATTGGAAGAAATAAAACGTTTATTCAGAGGATATACCAAGTTTCCTGGTTTACTTCTACGCATTCTGACCGATGTGTCCCATTACGATAGTAAATGTACCTTTTGGAACCTCCTACTTTACAGAATGGGTTTCCATGGCCGAGCAGCTGCATCTAAGCCTTACATCACCAAGTGCAATGCAAAGTTTCAGATGCAGTGGTGTAAAGCACGCCGCCACTGGACACTAGAGCAGTTGAGACGTGTTCTCTGGAATGACGACTCACGCTTCTATGTGGCAATCGGTTGGATGAGTCTGGGTTTGGCCGTTGCCAGGAGAACGGTACTTGCCTGACTGCATTGTGCCAAGTGTAAAGTTGAGGGAGGGAGGTTATGGTGTGGGGTTGTTTTTCAGGGGTTGGGCTTGGCCCCTTAGTTCCAGTGAAAGGAACTGTTAATGCTTCAGCATAAGACATTTTGGACAACTTCATGCTCAACACTGTGGAAACAGTTTGGGGATGGCCCCTTCCTGTCCCAACAATACTGCGCACCAGTGCACAAAGCAATTTCCATTAAGACATGGAAGAGCAATTTGGTGTGGAGAACTTGACTGGCCTGCCCCTCTATCTGATAGAACATCTGTGATGAACTGGAGTCTGCCAGCCAGGCCTTCTTGTCCCACGTCTGTGGCCGACCCCACAAATGCGCTTCTGGAAGAATAAAAAATTCCTATGATCAACCTTGTGGACAGCCTTCCCAGAAGAGTTGAAGCTGTTATAGCTGCAAAGGGTGGGCTGACTCCATATTAAACCCTATGGATTAAGAATGGGATGTCATTAACCTTCATGTGCATGTAAAGGCAGGCAACCCAAAACTTTTGGCAATATAGCGTATATTCCTCTGTGCCATAGAGCTCCATCGTTGTCCTCCAAGCACCAGTTTATTTAAGGAAATGAACAATAAAGTATGATGACACAAGTATTGTAGGCCTCAACTCAGACAATGATGGAAACCCAGTACCGCATCGAGGTGGACCAAGCTGTCACTAGGTGTTCGATGACAGCAATGATCAACAGAGCCAAAACCCAGGCACTCATTACTGACTTCTGAAGTAGGCCATTTCCCAAAACAACCATACAAATAAACTGCAACCCAATCACCATCACTGACTCCTTTAAATTCCTAGGAACATACATTAGCAATAACTTGAAGTGGACAACTAACACTGAACACATTATTGCAAGAGCTCAACAAAGACTTTATTTCCTCAGGTAGCTTAAAAAATACTGGATCAAGCAAGCAACTCCTTGTTCTGTTCTACTCCAGTATCCTTGAGTCCATTATTACATCATTGATCACAGTATGGTAGCACGGACAGCCAAACAAAGAAAAAACTACAGCGGACTGTCAACAAAGCATCCAAGTTCATTGGCGAACCGCTGCCATCAGTAGATTCCCTCTATACACATCGGACTGTAAAGCAAGCAAAGAAAATCATCTCCAACCCCTCACATCCTGCTCAGCACCTTTTCCAGCTCCTTCCCTCAAGGAGGCACTACGGGTCACTCTCCACCAAGATCAAACGCTTCACAAATAGCTTTTTCCCCATAGCCATCAGGACTCTGAACTCCTCTGTTTAGTTTAGTTGCCCTCTCATACACTACGCATCTTCATTTACCCACTGTATTTTGTATCATTACATGTTGTGAAGTGTATTTTCTATTCGTTATTTGTATTGTATGCACGTGATGCAGAGCTTAAACATACTCTACTATGTAGTATGTATGTATAATACCTCCATTGTTGCTGGGTTTTGTCCTCAGGTGGTGGTTTCCGGCCACTATGCAGGACGGGCTCACTTAAACTGAGCAAGCGATTGACCAACAAAATAATTATAAACTAATTATATTGTGATCTTATATGTATACTTGCATCTGCTTGTAATTTTAGTTTTGCTGGCTGCTCTAGCTCTGGTGATAACAAAGTTACACCACTGACGAATGCCGACAAACAAACAATACAACATGCCGCAGAAGACCAAGAATATCGATGGCACGGCGACAGCACGGGAATGTTGGAAAAATGTGAATATAGAGCAAATGTGTCCAGCGATGACTTCACGGACACATTAAGCAAGCAGATTGATATTGTATTTCAGGACTCACAGTGACTTCAGACTCGAGGTTCGGGACTCAACAATGTTTATTTTTAGGAAACGTCTGATGAGCTTGCTGTTATTCCTCTCCCTCCGTTACCTATAACCTTCCTACGTAACACATAGTATCAGATGCGCGTGGCCACACGTACCAGAGGACAACAAACAATGGCAGCTGCTGTGCCATTCATCATAAAGTTTGGCTTCAAAACTTCATACAATGAGGCCCAAACAAAGAAGAGCTTAACGCAAAATAGGTTAGTAACCTGTGGTTAGTAAACATGTTTAGCTCAGCATTGGCAATCTAACATTAGCTTGCTTCTTGCTTTAGTTACGACCTACAGGATGTTAACTCCGACTGTTGCTCGTTATGAAAAGATGAATGAACGTTTACTTGCCAAACTTGTGGTGGTTGATCAACCTAATCATTTACATTCCGCTGGCTGCCATCACGTTAATTATTAACATCGGCTGCAAACAGCTTACAGGTTTATTGTTGATCATGTAACGTTACAGTTTTATTTAGTTATAACGTTACACTGGTTTGAGAGTCTGGGGAATGTGTTGACTTACAGTAGTTAATAAGCTGTCATTAGTTGCAGACGCATTGTTCATTAGGCTACATGGTTGTACTCTGTGATAAACAGGTTACAGGATCATGTAATGTTGCAGTTTTTTTTAGTTAGCTTTACACTGGTTTTGAGAGTCTGCGGGGTGTGTGGACTTACAGTAGGCTAGTTAACAAGCTGTTATTAATTGCATTGCACATTACATGGTTGTGCTCTGTAAGTGAAAAACAGGTTACAGTTACAGAATTCTTTATAGCTATGCAGCCTGGATTGAACGTAGCAGGTGATACAACATTCATTATAACCACGAGAGACTTGAGACTTGACTTGGACTCTAGTTCAAAAACTTTAAACTTGGACTCTAGCTCAGTGACTTGAGATTTGACGGACTCAAGCTCAGAGAAATGAGATCAGCATCACACTTTGTATGGGCTTTGATTTCATAAACTGTAAAGGAAATCATGGAGCACCTGAACAACATTGTTTTACACAGAATTTCCCTTCAGGGATCAATAAAGTATTTCTGATTTCTGATTTTAATATTGGTGGGGAGATAAATTGTAAGCTTTTTACATCTGATAAGCTGAAATATACAAAAAACTAAAATAACGTGTTCATTTTACATCTTAATACTAGAAGTCTGAATAGGCATCATGATGGTCTCTGTTTTGGCTTGTATAGGCAGTAGTTTTGATGTAATTGGCTGTAGTAAAACCTGGCTTAATGACGCATCATACGTGGATATTCTTAATCTCGATGGTTACAAGCTATATGACAAAAACAGATTAGGTAGACCAGGTGGTAGAGTGTGTCTATATGTAGATTCAGGACACTCCGTAACTATTTGTGATTACCTCAATATTGAAGATGGTGACTCAGATTCACTATTTATTGAGATAATTGTAAAAAACGGTAAAAACTTCATTGTTGGAGTTATTTATCGATCTCCAGACTCTGACCTTGACATTTTCAAAACCAA